ACTCAATTTATCTATTCTTTCTAAATCTCGTAATTTACAGATTCAATTTATTATTATGCAAATTACAACATTTTTTATATTCAAATATGGATTTTTGTTTAATTTCATATCCAAACTTTAAAAAAATTCAATTATTAACTGATTAATTAATTATTCTGGTTTATTAATTTCAAAAATTTTTAATAAAATTCTTCGCAAGAAATTCAATTTTTTTTATAAATAATAAAATTCTTTGCAAAAATTTAATTATTTTTGATACAATTTTAATAACATTTCATGAAAGAAATCAATTTTTAAAAAAAAATTTAATAATATTTTTCGAAAAAATTCAATTATTTTCTCAAATTTTAATAAATCCTTCTAAACAATTCAATTATAATTACAAAAAGTAAAATTCTTTGAAAAAAATTTAATTATATTTAAAACAATTTCACGAAAGAATTCAACATTTTTCTTAATTCGATATAAAAAATTTCAATAGAATTCAATTATTTTCTAGAATTTTAATAAAATTCTTCGGAAGAATTCAATTATTTTAATATATAATAAAATTTTTATTGCAAAAATTCAATTATCTTCAACAAATTTTTAATAAATTCTTCGAAACAATTCAATTATTTTTTAAAATAGTAAAATCTTTACAGAAATTCAATAAAATATCACGAAAGAATTAAATTTTTTTCTTAATTCGTTACAAAATTTTTCAAAAGAATTCAATTATTCTCAAACATTTAAATACAATTCTTCAGAAGAATATTGAGATATTATTTTTATAAATAATAAAATTTATTGCAAAAATTCAATTATTTTCAACAAAATTTTAATAAAACCTTCGAAATAATTCAATTGCTTTTTAAAATAGTAAAATATTTGCAAAAATTCAATTATCATTATAAATAATAATTCTTTATTCACGAAAGAATTGAATTTTTTTCTTAATAATTGGTTATAAAAAATTTTAATAGAATTTAATTATTTTCTAAAATTTTAATAAGATTCTTTGGAAGAATTCAATTTTTTTCATAAATAGTCAAATTCTTAGCAAAAATTAAATTATTTTTCATACAATTTTATAAAATTTCATGAAAAAATTACATTTTTAAAAAATTTTTTATAATATTTTTCAAAAAAATTCAATTATTTTCTAAAATTTTATTAAATCCTTCTAAACAATTTAATTACAAAAAGTAAAATTTTTTGAAGAAAATTTAATTATAATTATAAACAATTCCACGAAAGAATTCAATTTTTTTCTAAATTCCTTATTAAAATTTTTCAAAAGAAATCAATTATTTTCAAAAAAATTTCACGAAATAATTCAATTCTTTTTACATTTTTAATAATTATTTTTCGAAAAAATTCAATTATATTTATAAAAAGTCAAATTTTTAGCAAAAATTCAATTATTTTCTAAAAAAAATTTCACGAAAGAATTCAATTTTTTTCTTAATTCGTTAATAATATTTTTCAAAATAATTCAATTACATTTATAAATAGTCAAATTTTTAGCAAAAATTCAATTATTTTTAATCCAATTTTATAAAATTTCATGAAAAAATTATATTTTTAAAAAATTTATAATAATATTATTCAAAAAAATCCAATTATTTTCTAAAATTTTAATAAATTCTTGGAAAAAAATTCAATTATATTTATAAATAGTCAAATTCTTAGCAAAACCTCAATTATTTTTAGTACAATTTTATATAAATTTTATGAAACAATTCCATTTAAAAAAATTTTTTATAATATTTTTCAGAAAAATTTATTATTTATTTAAAAAAAATCAAAGATATATTCTGTAAAAAGAATTTAATTGGAATTTTCAAAATTGAAACAAATCTTTACGAGAATCAATTATTTTTCTAAATAATAAAATTCTTCGAAGGAATTCTATTGTCAAATTTTTCGATTAAATTGTTTACACAAATTTGATGATTATAATAATATTAATTAATATGCATTAAAATACATATTAATTTTAAAATTAAAAATAAGTTTAAATAGAAAAATTATTAAAAAAGTTAAGAAACAAAAAAGCAAAAAACAACTAACTTCAAACTACCAACAGATTACCGGAATACAACGATTATTAATATAGAAGATATTTTTCTCTAGGTATTTTAAAGCTCTTTACTTATAAATATCCCTACTTTTTTAATTTGAAATAATTTTTCAACAAAAGAATAATTTTAAATATCAAAAGCATTCAACTGCAACGTACTGAAAAGAAATATACCAAAAAGTACGACATTTAACTTCTTAAAAAATTATTTCCCACCCTCAATTCAAAAACCCAAAGTTTGTCACATTTTCATCCAATTAGTGCACCAAAAAAAAGAATAATTCAACCGAAAACTTTAAATTGACCCCAAAAAACCGAATGACTTGTTACATTTTTTGTCCCCCCCTCTCCCTCTTCAAAAAAAAAATTGTTTTAATGAAAGCTTTATTTTATTTTAACGATGTGAATTATGAACGTAAAGTCATAATCTTGATGGTCATTTGTGATTTCGTTCCGAACTGCGGGTGAATGTCGAGAAAAAGAAATGAAGATGACTAAAAACATACTAATATAAAAGATGCATCGTGTGTTAGGTATATTATTCCTAGATGCATCAGTCGCACACGAGGGGCAGGTGAAGAATTCTTTTTTTTTCTTTTTTTTTTTTGTTTCTGTTCAGAATTATACTGCAATCTTATCTTTAGTCCTTTATCGTTGCCAAAAACTTGAAAACCTCGCCTCGTCTATATCGATAGCATCGCTTTTATATTTATATTTACAGCACTGGTGCCGGAAAAGCGTGCAGCCAAATTCTCTATATCAAGATAAAAATCAAACAGACGCAGTCAACGAATCCAAAAAGAGAAAAAAAACTGTAAATTAGAGTCATTTTTTAAATTAAACTTCACACCATTATATAGAAATGTGTGACAGTTGAAAGAAACCTTCGTTTATTCTTCATTAAGAGTATTATAAATACAAATAATTATTGTATGAAAATTATATAATTGATTAATTAATTATAAATAATTGTACCTAATATTTAATTAGATTATTTAATAAAGAAATAGTATATGTTTAATTATAATATATATTATAAGTAATTATAATTTTTTAATCCTATTATATATTCTGTTAATTATATTTTATTCTTACGATTATTAATTACTAGCAACCATTCATGCGCGGCTGTCTTTTCACTCATTTTTTAAAATAAAATTAGCAATTTTAAAAATAATACAACGTAAAAATTTTTAATTCAAATTTTTTTTATAAAAATAAAATACGAATTAAAATATATAGTTTTAATATTATTACAGTTATAATAATCATATATTCTGACATAGGGAATTCAGGAAAAAGTCAGGAATTTTTATTAAAAGTACTGAAAAAAATTAAATTTTTAGAATTCATAAGAAAATTCTTAATTTTTGTGTCTTTTTTGTTTGACTTATAAACTATAAAATTACCACGAATTCTAATACAAAGCCTTCAATTTTTTCAATTTCTAATAAAAATTTCTTTTTAAACAACTCAAATCTTGATCAACTATCATAAAATAAATAAATTATTTAATGAAGAATTTTACTCAAATATTTCAAAATTAATTCAATTTTAAAAGAGTTGCGTTTACGATTTTCATAAATAAATTAACTTCAAACGGTTTCAATTTCAAATTTTATAAAATTTCCACATTGAATGAATTTAATTAAAAATTTTAATAAACTTAGATTTTTGAAAAATTTTAAAAATTCAAAGTCTTCTAAAATTAGTTAAATTTGTCAATATATATTTAATTAATTATCAAAAATAATGGATTTATAGAAGAATTTATGTTAAAAACACTAAAAAAATTGAATTTTGAAGATGTTACAAATAATTGCGAAAATTCAATTATTTTCAAAAGTAATAAAATTCTTATCACAAAATCCAATTATGTTCAAAATTTACAAAAAAAAAATCTCGACGAAATCCCAATTATTATCTTTATAAATAAAAAAATTCTTCTTCAAAATTCAATTATTTTCCAAAATTTTAACAAAATTCTTGTCAAAATTTCAATTATTTTCAAAAAATTTTCTCTTTTCAATGATTTTCAATATCTACTATTTCAATATAAAATTACCCAAAAGAATTCTATTATTAAAAAAAATTTCAATAAAATTCTACGCAAACATTAAATTATTTTCATAAATAATAAAAATTTTCACAGGAATTCAAATATTTACAAATTTTTTATAAGTTTCTTCTCAATAATTCAATTATTTTCATAAACAACTAAATTTTTACAAGGATTCAATATTATTTTCGTAAATAGTAAAATTCTTTTTAGAAATTCCATTATTTTCATAAATAACAAAACTCATTGGAGAATTTAAATCATTTTAATACAATTTTAATCGAATTTCTCGAAAAATGTAATTATTCTTAAAAATATGATCATAAATCCGTCATGAGAATTATTTTCATAAATAATAAAATTTTCACAAGTATTTTATTATTTTAAAATACATTTTTTGATAAAAATGTACGGATAAAGTCAATTATTTAAAAAACTTTTTTTATAAAATTCATTTCATGAATTCAATTATTTTTAAAAATTTGTTAAAAATTCGCATAATAATTTAGATCAGCCAAACGAAATTTGTTATAGAAAAAAGCATATAACTGCGAATGCTGAGAAAAGAAATGAAGAAAACTAAGTTATTATCATAAATATACTATTTAGGGGGCCTTTAGATGACGGCCCTCATGAGGGGGCCCTTAAAAGATCCTGACACCAGTCTATCTGAGGAGCCAACATTTTTTCCGTACGTATGATCTTTCCAAATTTCAACTTCAGATAAAAGTTTCCATTACAAAAGCCAATTCTCCGAAAGTTTTATACAGTTTTTGAGAAAAAAAATTATCTTATCTATGAGAATAAACACAATAAATTATTTAATATATAATGAACTAAAAGTTCGATTTTTTCTATTGTTATCATATAAAATAGTTCTTGGAATTAAACATGGCATAAACTGATACCATCATAATACTGTGATGAAAGAAGGTATTTTTAAAAATAACAAAACTAATTTAAAAAAAAAGTTAGTAAATGAAATATAACCAAAAGCCGAAATAGATACAAAAGCGCGTTCATCTCGTATCTATTGCCCCCACTCTTGCTTGAATGCGCATTTAAGTTTTTTCTTGATAATTTCCTTCAATATCCAACTGTATCTGAATAAAGTTGAACCTTATTTTGTTACAAGTCCAGGTTTTTGTATTTATATTAAAATGAAGTTCCTGCTGTTATTTGCTATTGCTGCTACATTGACATGCCAATCTATTAGTTTTGGAGGTAAGCATATTATACGCATAATATATTTTATGGCATTGATACTAAATATATACGGTCTTTTCAATTAATGTTGTCCATAAAATCCGAGTAATAATTTATTTAAAATACCAAAGTATAACATTAACTTTTTTTATTACATTTTATACTTTATATAGACAAAGATATACCATCGGGAATCATTGACGTGTATGATGTTCAAAATTCAAAAGTTCGACTTGTAATTCCTATAAATAAAGATGAATACGTGCAAGACAATTATTTTCTTGAAGTTTACAACAAAAATACTTCTGCATCTGTAAATTGTCATAAAGTTGATTATATGCAAATTTTAGACTCATTAGTTGTATTTGTTTCTAAACTTACACCAAGCACTACATACAAATTTAGAGTTGTTGATAAAAGAAATAGTATTTTCTACGAGAGTTTGGATGTTACAACGAACAAAGCTTTAGGTATATGCTTGAAATTGATTAAATTTTTGATTGATTTTTTCTATCTTGATAAATCTTAAAACATTCTTATTGCTCCAAATTTAAATTTACAGGCAAACCTAAAAAACCAGATGAAAATATGTTTTACATTTCATTTGTGGACAGGAAAGCCACTATCTTCATGAAACAGCATTCAAATTGGATACATTGTGAAATCGGGTATGAAATCTGCTTATTGAATTCAACAACGAATGAAAAAATTACCGAAAGTAGAAACCTAAGATGTACACACAATTCGTCTGTACATTTTAATAATCTGAGTAAAGGAAATAATTACAAAGTTCAAATTAGGGCGTGTAATATGTACGGATGTTCTGACCCAGTGATAAGCAAAGAATACAAATCGGGTACAAGTTTAAAATAAATTTTTTTTAAGTTTAAAAGAAATTTCTTCGAAAGGTTATTTCTAACGATTTTAATTTACAGGTAAATCCGAAAGTGATATTAACGTATTAAACATCACAGACACAACATGTTCAATAAAATGGAAAAAACTGACGAATAATTCTAAAGACACTGATTACATAATCAATGTTATCGACATTGGATATCGATATCTTTATTTTCATGTTGAACAAAATCAAGATCAAAATATTACTCGAAGAATTTTAAGTTCAAACTCTAGTGATACGCCATTTACGATTGATCATCTAAAGCCTGGAAATGTATATCATGCTTCGATTTCTACACAAGATTCAAAATCTTTTGTATTAGCGGAATGTAAAACTTTACCTTTGACAGGTATGGCTCCATCTTAATTTGTTATACTCGGAATTTTTACATTTATTTGTACGAGAAATGTAATTTTTCAAAATAACATTTTCGGACCTTGGAGAATAAAGTTTTGATATTGAGATTGTAAAAGCCGAAAGGCATCCAATGAAATCTTACTTTACTTTTTAGTTACATTGAATTTACAGAAAAACCTGCTACACCTTTTGAAAATTCATTTAATATCTCATTTGAGAGTGGAGGAGCCAAAGTAACATTACTTGATGATTCTCTTCAAGAAAATTGTGCATTATGGTATACAGTCTCGATTTATAAAGCAGATACTGAAATATTTGTAGAGGATCGTAATCTAACTTGCATAAAATATAAATATACACTTGAATATCTCGCTGAAGGAATTTACAGTGTCAGGATTATCGCGTGTAATAAAATTGGATGTTCCGATCAATGGGAAAGCAAGCACTACAAACCAGGTACAATAGAATTGTACTTTCTTATTTTTGATAATGAAATCTCTATACTGAATGCAGAATTGTAGATTGAATTGCTATGAATTAAAAATTTTCACTTTAAGGGAAATAAAAACGAAATTCTATTACAAAATTTTAATTTACAGGCCACGTGCAATTTCCAAAACCTTTGTCTTACAAAGTTTTAAACACTACGGATTCAACATGCAAAATTCAGTGGATAAAACAAAATGATATTTCACACATTGTAAGAAACTTTGCATTTGTGTTAATTTATAGTGAAAACTCTCTGTAGCTTAAAAATTATTGTGTTGTGAAAATCTTTCATGAAAAACATTAAACAAACAAAAAATCACAGACTAGTAAAAAAATTGTATGTAAAAGTGACGTTTAACGTTCGCTTCATTTCGGTTTACGCAAATTTTTTTTTTACCAGTCGAATATCATTTTTATGCTAAACGTACAATTAATGATACATTTTTTTCAACAGCATGAAAAAATTGCCTGGATTCCTGGTGATCATCCTAAGGAATACTATGTAATCCAGATTATTGTCATTGGTATCGATGCCAACGATATTAATACTCATTTTGCCAGAGATGCATGCATCGCTCATCATTCAAAACGTATGAAAGTTTCCTCTTAATTCGCAATTTTTTTCCTCTATTTAATAATATCAATAATAATAATTAATAATTAACTATATTAATCTTCGTATTCTTTCCTTTATTCTGTCGGCAGTTTGAAGTTAGTTTCTGTGTATGCTTATGTTTTATTTTTCTTTAAAAAATATTGTTTGACAAATGGAAAATATGCAGGCATTTTTTCATGATTTATAATAAAATAATATTACAAATTAGAAAATTTAAAAAAATGTATGATTAACAAATAAAAAATATACCCATTTTGTTAGTTATATGCTCTTTTCTATAACAAATTTCGTTTTACTGATCTAAATTATTATGCAACTTATTCTCCTTTTTATTTATAAAAAATACTAGAAAATTGTTAATTGTTCAAAAATTTTTACTAAAAAGTAGGAAATATACCCATTTTATGCATAATTTTTATTTCTCAATAACAATATTGTTTACAAACTCATTTTTTTTTCTTTTGGGAAGAAAAACATGAGATATTCCCGCTTTTCTTAATATTTTTGTAAAAAATTCTCAATTTTTTTAAGGAAATAATTTTTCATCAATTCTATTTCTTAATTCAAAGTTTTTTAAAAATATAGGAAAAAAATGTTTATAAATTATATTTGTCAATTAGAAAATTTAATTGAAAATGAAACAGAAAATTTTTAAAGTTTTAGAATATGAAGGAAAAAATTTTATTGAAAAAATGTTTTGTTAAATATATTTACGAATATCTTTAATTGTAAAATTATTCGAAAACAATAATTTCTTTTCTAAATATTTTAAATATTTCATTATTATTTTATTTTTACATAGAAATTAATATTCTTCAAAACATTCAAATTCAAACTTTTTTTAAAATTAATCAACTTTGAAAAAAAATTGTTATAAAACATAAAGTTAGTTAGTTAGTTAGTTTACTCCGAGTCTTCGACTCGGAGCAATCGTTATCTTTATGTTTTATAATAATTCAAAAGAATCGAGTGTTAAAATAATTATTTTATATTATACGAATATTGTTACTATATAACTTCTTAGAAATTATTTTCATATTCTATTATTATATAAAATTTAAACGAAAATTCATTTTCAAATAAATTTTTAATTTAAAAAATTTAAAATTTAATTATTATAAAGAATTTTATAACAAATTTTTAAATAATTGAATTCTTTTGACGAATTATAATAAAACTTTTTAGAATAGTAACATTTTTTAAGGAATTTGATTAAAATTGTATTAAAAATAATTGAAATTCTACGATGCGTTTAATTATTTCTGAAAATAACTGAATTATTGAGAAGAAACTTATAAAAAAAATTTGTAAATATTTGAATTCCTGTGAAATCTTTATTCTTTTTGAAAATTATTTAAATACAAGAGTAAATATTTTATTAAATAATTGAATGTTTTTTAAAATTGAATTTTCATAAAGAATTTAATCAACAAATTTTTAAATAATCAAATTCTCTTGATAAATTTGAAGAAAATTTTTAAGAATAATTTCATTTTTCGAGAAATTTAATGAAAATTGTATTAAAAATAATTGAAATTTTGCTAAGAATTTTGTTAAAATTTTTGAAAATAATTGAATTTCGGAGAAAAATTTTATTATTTATAAAAATAATTGAAATTATTACAAGAATTTTTGTAAATGTTTGAACATAATTATTTAATTTCTGCGAAGAATTATATTACTTTGGAAAATAATTGAATTATTGATACGAATTTTATTTAAATTTCTTTTTAAATAACTAAATTTTTTTGTGAGATTTTATTGAAATAGTACGACAGGCATTGAAAATAATTTAATTTTGACAAAATTTATTAAAATTATTTTGATAGAAATTGAATTTATTGTTACGAAGAATTTTATTAAAAATGTTGAAAATAATTTTATTAAAAATGTATTGAAAATATAGGCAAAGGTTTTTAGAATAATTTAATTTCTTTGATAAATTTTAATGAAATTTTTTAAAATATAATTTCATTTTTCGAGAAATTTAATGAAAATTGCATTAAAAATAATTTAAATTCTGCGTTGAGTTTCTTTTTTTTATTATGAAAATAATTGAATCTCTGTAAAAAATGTTATTATTTATGAAAATAATTAAGTGTTTGCGTACAATTTTATTAAAATTGTTTTTAAATAATTGAATTCCTTTGGGTAATTTTATTAAAATAGTAGATATTGAAAATGATTGAAATGAGGAAAATTTTTGAAAATAATTGAAATTTTGAAAAGAATTTTAATTAAATTTTTCAAAGTAATTGAATCTTGAAGAATTTTTTGTCGAGATTTTTTTGTAAATTTTAAACATAAATTGAATTTTGTGATAAGAATTTTATTACTTTTGAAAATAATTGAATTTCTGCAATCATTTATAACTTCTTCAAAATTCAATTTTTTTTAGTGTTTTTAACTAAAATTCTTCTATAAATTCATTACTTTTAATAATTAATTAAATATATATTGACAAATTTAACTATGATTTTAGAAGATTTTGAATTATTAAAATTTTTCAAAAATCTAAGTTTATTAAAATTTCTAATTAATTTCATATAACATTGAAATTTTCGAAAATTTCAAATTGAAACCGTTTGAAGTTCATTTATTTATGAAAATTGTAAATGAAACTCTTTTAAAATTGAATTAATTTTGAAATATTTGAGTAAAATTATTCAATAAATTATTTATTTATTTTATGATAGTTGTTCAAGATTTAAGTTATTTAAAAATAAATTTTTGTCAGAAATTGAAAAATTTGAAGGTTTTGTATTAGAATTCGTGGTAATTTTACAATTTATGAGTCAAACAAAAAAGTCACAAAAATTCTGAATTTTCTTATGAATTCTAAAAATTTAATTTTTTTAGCACTTTTAATAAAAATTCCTAACTTTTCCCTAAATTCCCTATTTTAGAATACATGATTATTATAATTATAATAGCATTAAAACTATATATTTCAATTTATGTTTTATTTTTATAAAAAAAATTTAAATTAAAAATTTTTACGTTCTATAACTTTTAAAATTGCTAATTTTATTTAAAAAAGTGAGTAAGAAGTCAGCAGCGCATAAGCGCGCTAATTGTTTCTAGTAACGATAAATACTCTAACTTACTATTTTATTAATATTTTTAAAACATTATTAAATATCACATTACATTAGATTAATAAATGGAAACATTATGAAACAGAACTATAATTACAAGTTCTCAAAAAGCTTCTACAAATTTTAATTAAAATAGCTCAAAAGATTAATTGAATGAACAATAAAAAAAAGGGACGATAAAACTAAAATGATATTTTTGGGGAAAGAGTCGTTAATAATATTTAAAAAAAGGAGAAAAAAAAAGAATAACACGTTTAATTGAACAAAAAAAATGTTAAACGAATTTCATGGCTCATTAGTAAGATCCATTCTGTTGCACTGTGTGAAAAAAAAAGAATATGAAACGTTTAATTTCTATTTTAGATTGCTAATTCACGGTTGGTTTTTACCGTTTATGGCAGTTAAGAGCATTTGTTTGTGGCCGACGCGACTACAGCTGGAAAAGCGTCAGCTGGAAAAGCAAAAGTCCCGTGATGTGTATACGTGTGTCTTTAACAGCCTCGCCGCATGAATTTATTGCATCTTCTTTGATTTGAATTTTACCTTAACTAAACGTACAATTAGAATTAAATGTATAAATCAATTTTCATGATTCTCAGTCTTCATTTACAGCTGCACAAATTTATATTTCCAAATTACAGTTTATTAATAATTACATTCTTTCTTTGCGTATATCATTTCGATAATTTATTCTAAACTTTAATTTATTCCATAAAGTTAGTGTTCTTTAATTTTCAATCTGCTTTTGCACTGATTACTTTTTCTACTACTAAACTTTGTACCACTAAATTTTTTTACTATCGATTTTTTTACTATTAAAAAAAGTATTTATTTAATTTATTTAATTTACTAAATTATCTAATTAGCTGATCCAATTCCGAAAGCAGTGAACTAATAACATTACATAAGAAGAAAAGTAACGAAATAATAATATAAATTTCACAATATTATAATTGGCCTATCCTCAATAATTATAATTGGAAGGAGGAATTGAAGACGAAGAAGAAGAAGGAGGAGGAGGAGGAGGAGGAGGAGGAGAAAAAATTGGTATTTGAAAATACGTTGTAAAATGACTGGTTTTCATAAAATGGTTGAAGTGCAAAGTTCAATGAAGTTCACGACGAGTTAGCAAATTGTATAGGGGGGGGAGGGGGTTAGGTGAGAGCAGCTTTGGAAAAACTCCTTTGCCCCGACACAAAAACCTTTCTCTCGAAGGATCGCACGACTTCGCGGCGGGCCAATATCTGTACACACAACACTGGAAGACACACGATAGACACAAGATGCATTCTTATAAATACACACAAGCGGCTCCAATACAATGAAGGGAATTAAAAGGATCGCACCTTATCATCATTACGAAACGTATATATAAAGAGTCACTGATGCTCGACATTACTTACCTTTTATAAAACAATAGCTTCAGCCACAGTCAAAAGTTCATCGTTCTCCTCTTCGCAAAACACAATATAATATGTTTAAAGTTAGATTCTTCTTAACTATTCTTTAATTTTCTATTTGCATTTTTCATTCACACAACTCTTTATTTTCTAGTGCCAGTAATCTGAAACAGAAAAAAGAAAATATTTTTTTATTTCTTTATGCAAAGTCTGAATAATTTTGTTGATTTTCTTTTTAAATACGTTAAAAGTAAGTTCCTTTGATTTCCGTTTGTAATAATTGTTATGAAACAAAAACTAATTAAAATAATATAAAATGATAAACAAAAATAATAATATCAGAAGAATTTTGATTTTCTTTTTTAAAACGTTAAGATAGTTCCTTTGATTTTCGTTTGTAATAATTGTTACAACACAAAAGCTGATGAAAATAATATAATAAAAAATAAATAAAATTATAATAACAGAAGAATTTTGATGATTATTTTTTTAAATACGTGAAGATAGTTCTTTTAGTTTTCGTTTGTAATTTTATTTTTAATCATTATTCAGAGTTGCCACGCAACCTGAAACCCTGGAAATGTTAGGGAATTTTATAAACCTTGAAAAAGACTGAAAAAATCAGGGAATTTTAATCGAAATCCTGAAAAATTATGTTATCTAAAGATATTGTGTTTATTCTTGAAATCTAATTTTACTTAAATATTTCAAAATTAATTCAATTTTAAAAAAGTTTCATTTACAATTTTCATAAATAAATGAACTTCAAATGGATTCGATTGGAAATTTTATAAAATTTCAATGTTGAATGAATTTAATTAGAAATTTTAGTAAATTTAGATTTTTAAAAAATTTTTTATAATTCAGAATTCTTCTAAAATTAGTTAAAATTGTCAATGTATATTTAATTAATTATTAAAAATAATGGATTTGAAGAAGAATTTTAGTTAAAAATACTAAAATAATTGAATTTGGAAGAAGTTACAAATGATTTGCAGAAATTCAATTATTTTCAAAAGTAATAAAATTCTTATCACAAAATTCAATTATGTTCAAAATTTACAAAAAAAATCTCGACAAAATTCCAATTATTGTCTTTATAAATAAAAAAATTCTTCTACAAAATTCAATTATTTGGAAAAATTTTAATAAAATTCTTGTCAAAATTCCAATTATTTTCAAAAATTTTCCTCATTTCAATTATTTTCAATATCTACTATTTTAATAAAATTACCGAAAGGAATTCAATTATTTAAAAACAATTTTAATAAAATTCTACGCAAACATTTAATTATTTTCATAAATAATAAAAATTTCACAACAATTCAAATATTATTAGAAATAATAAAACTCATCGCAGAATTTCAATTATTTTAAATACAATTTTCATTAAATTTCTCGAAAAATGAAATTATGTTTAAAAATTGTATTAAAATTTATCAAAGAAATTCAATTATTTTAAAAACCTTTGCCTATATTTTCAATACATTTTTAATTAAATTTTTTCCAAAAATAATTAAATTATTTTCAACAATTTTAATAAAATTCTTTACAGCAATTCAATTTCTTTCAAAATAATTTTAATACATTTTTCAATATTCAATTATTTCCAATGTCTATACTATTTGAATAAAATTTCACAAAAGAATTAAATTATTTAAAGAAATTTTATTAAAATTCGTCTCAAGAATTCAATTATTTTCAAAAATAAACATTTTCACATGAATTCAATTATTTAAAAAATAATTGTTTTTAATTCTTTGTCGGATTTCAATTCTTTTCATTTTTTTAAATGAAATTTTTCGATGGAATTTAATTATTTTCAAAAAGGTTTTAAAAAATTCTGTGAAATTCAATTATTTAAAAAAATTTGAATCAAATTCTTCACAAGAAATTCAATTATTTTTCAAAATAAAATTCATTACAGAAATTCAATTATTTAAAAAAGAATTTTTTTAAATTCTTTGTCAGATTTTAATTATTTTCAATTTTTTAATGAAACTTCTAGATTGGAATTAAATTATTTTCCAAAAGTTTAAAAAAAATTCTGAGAAATTCAATTATTTTAAAAAATTTGAATAAAATTTTTTACAAGAAATTGATTATTTTCATGCGAGTAATTTTTCTCCGAAATTCAATTATTTTTACAAATAAAATTCTTTACAGGAATTCAATTCTGATGTAAAAGAATTTGTAATAAAATTAGTTGCAAGAATTCAATTATTTTCATAAATAACATAACTTATCGCAGAATTTAAATTATTTTTATAACAATTTTAAATATATAGTAATAGAAAATTGCAATTTTATTCTTAAATTTGTTTTTAAATTAATCGAAAGAATTCAAATATTTTTTAAAATTTTGATAAAATTCTTCATAAGAATTAAATTTTATGAAATATTTAATTATTAAATAAATTATTTATTTTTGTATGTAAATAATTGAATTCTCGAAAAAATTTCTAATAAAAATTTATTAAAAAATGAATTTCTGGTAAAATTTTAGATAATAATTGAATATTAAAAGCAAATATGGCCAATTTTGTTTGCAGCGAAACAACTTTTTTTATTCCCACAATTGTTATGCAAATGAAAATTATAAAACAAGAATACAAAAATTGCTTAACAAAAAAAACATTGTATTTCTTTTCCAAATGCAAAGCTTCCTGGTGAGGAAGAAAAATGATTTAACTTAAAAATTTAATAATCTGCCCAAGACTAAAATATACAGAACACAACTGAATAAAAATGTGTTAATTTTTCTCAAAGTACTGATAAATATTTGCCAAAAAAGTAAAAAAAAAAAAACAATATGAAAAGTAATAATGTGAATATCTTCTCCGTGCGTGGTAAAAGAGGAATTTCATTAAGATTATAACCTCGCACATTTGGTATTAAAGCAGCCATACATTTTCCCCGGGAGGTCCGCTATGATAGCAGCGAACTTTTTTTTTCTTCTTCTTTTTTACAAGAAAGTTTGTCGCCAATGTACGTACGGTATGTACAAAGCTCGTTTAATGACTCATGATGTGTACAACTGCTGAGAAGGAGCGAGACACACAGTAAAATGCAAATACCGTCGTCGTTATATTGATTTTCTTAAATTTAGACAGCTTAAAATTACAAAAGCCTCCGTGTCTTTTTCAAAAAAAAAAAGAAAAAAATATTATTTTAATTTCTTCACCTCTTTAAATATATTTTTTTAAAAAACATTCCTTTCGGTTAAATAAATTCCTCACCAGGAAATTAAATTTATAATTTTTTTCTTCTTCTGAAACTTTACGCTTAGGCGAACGCCTAAGCGTAAAATTTCTGAAGAAGAAAAAATTAAAAGCATGTAAGTACCTGATAATGTACAAAATTAATTTAATAAAAAATATATTTTTTCTACATAAATGCAAAAGTATTTTTTTGATTAAGAGTCTACTAAACTTTTTATTTGTTTCAAATAAAGTTTGCGATTTGCGAATTTTTTTTTAATATTATAAACGAAAATTATAGGGACAAATAAACGAAAATTCACCCAGAAGAAATATTGACTTGATTCAGAATTTACTAAAATTTTCATTTGTTTCAAATGAATTTTATCTGGTTCAAATTTAATTAGGTTCGCATTTTATTTGGTTCAAATTTTATTTGTGTCGAATAAAATTTGTACTTGAAACAAATAAAGTAGATAAAGAGTCTACTAAACTTTTTATTTGTTGCAAATAAATAAAATATGAGAATTTTTTTTTAAATATTACAAACGAAAATTCTAGGGACAAATAATCCAGGGTTTGCCACAAAGCTTTGATTTTGTTTTTCCTTGACTTTTCCCTGATTTCGAGACAAAATTTTCATTTTTTCCCTGACCCTATGAAGAACATCAATAACTTCTTTTTTAAATAAATATTTAATCATTATTATTTTTCTATAGAAATTAAAATTCTCAAATTCAGAGTGATAAAATCATTATTTTGTATCATAAGAATATATTTGTAACTATAAATTCAAATTTCCAAAAATTTTAATTTGAACCCTCTTCAAAATTCAATTATTTATAAAAATTCACACAATAACTCTTATAGTATTCAATTATTATCTAAAACTTTACCAGAAAT